CTCTCTCTCTCTCTCTCTCTGTGTGTGTGTGTGTGTGTGTGTGTGTGTGTGAGAGAGAGAGAGAGAGAAACTAGCCATATATTGAAAAAACTAAAACAAAAAAAACAACCGATTATAATAGGAGGACATGGCAACACCGTCTGGCTGTATTCACATTATGCCTGAATTCAAACGATTGCTTAGTTTACTAATACATTTTCATGTATGAATCTTTTGTTCTTGTTGTACATATTTAATGATAACATTTTTCCAGTGCTTTTCAAAACATTTCTAAAAATACCAAACATCTATTATTATCCAGACAAGTTCACCGACCTCACACGTTCTCAGATTACTTAGAGCTGTGATTAAAATTCCCTTGTAAGGGCACTCAGTAATGCAATGCACACTTTCTCTCTAGAGACATAAACTGCCACCCACCGGAGACACACTCCTAATTACACCTGCCATAATTACAAGTTGAGAGGAGGGGCAGACAGATTATACTTTGTACTACTGTGCGCTTGCTGATGGGCCCATATTAAAATTTATGACAAACTGGATTGTCTATGCTATACTACTGTGAATGAATATCAAACAGTGATTTATTTATTTATTTTTAAATGTATTTCTACAACTCTGCACCTTTAGACTGGCCCACACATTATGAGCATCAAAATATGGTTTATCATCAGCATGCATCCCCCCTCACGAAGTGTAGTGATGGTACATTCCACCTGCCCTACTCCCCATAAGGGACTGTAGTATAGCTGTGGATGGGTTGCCCAGCAACACCATTTTCACAGACCCATGCATGCAAGCAGTATGTGATTGGATGGACATGAACTGTTCCGCATTAATTCTCCACACATATATTCATAGCCACTTAGGTAGGTCACATGGTATCTTATCCAGTCTACGATGTAGTTAACTTAATGATTATAAGCAACAAAATGTATAGAAATGTATTTAAAAGCATTAAACATGCTTCCCTTCTGGCAGCAGATGAGATGGACAGAATGAACGGACGGGTGAAGAACACGAGGAGTGCAATGTGATCACACCCCTCTCCACATGGGCTAAACAGGGCTCAGATTCACAGACACCAGAGAAAGGGAGTTTCACAGTCAGACCGACCAGATTTTGGTGCAACAACACTGGGTCTAAAATAAATAGCGTTTGTGTTTTCCGTTTGTCAACCTCTAGAGTGCGCTATTGCTCTTTCTTACAGCATGTTGGGGAAAAGAAAAAACTATTGCTGTCCAAATTTTGCCATTATTTGAACTAAGGCCACATTATAAATCAAAGAATGTGTTAAATAAGTAAATGTAAATGCTGATGAAAAATGTGTGTTCTGCTGCAAGGTCCCTCTAATGTTTAACCCTGTTGTGTGTATAATCAAACAACCTCTCCTAGTGCAAAGGTCATTGGAAAACAACAGTTCCATATATAAAGCAAGTTTGTAAATCTAAACCTGTGTCATAATTTATGCAACACAGCTGTTCTTGATTTGAGGTTTTAGAGATTACCATGCTTTCTGGACAGGCAGTTGGGAAATGTTTTTTCCAATGTACTCTTTTTTTATTCCATGCAGATACACACTCAGAAGAAAGTGGAAATACTCTTGTACTTTGTCTCAGTGACGATTCTTCTCTGACTCCCTGTATTAAGGAGACCACATCACAGAACATTGCATCTCTCAGTAACAATTATATTCCATTTTTGTTTCAGTTTCTAGGCCTATATAAAGGACATTCATTCTTGTATGGATCAACTTTCATACTTAACATAATTCATTTTTTTTTAAATCTATATATAATGTAAATAAACCACTATACTACTGAATTCACATTGGGCCTCATTTATCAATCTAACGTAGAAACGAGCGCAGATCTGTGCGCACAAATCAACTTACGACAGAGTTCACGTGTGATTTATGAAACATTCGTATGCCGCCGATCTCATCGTACGAATGATCGCATGTTGATAAATGTGGCGCCAGAAAACAATCGTCATTTGAATATCACGCCCCTAAAACACCCCGGTTTAGAAGCCTCGCCCAAGAGTAAGAAAAAAATTAATTTGAAAAGGTTGACTATTTATATATATATATATATATATATATATATAATTTGTGTATGTGTTTTATGTTTTGAAAATATGCAATTTGATGCAGATGTCGTTATTTATATGAAATTCTGATAGCTTGTACTGTAAATCAATGGGAATTTTATAACAGACTGCTAGCATATACAGGTGCATCTCAATAAATTAAAATGTCGTGGAAAAGTTCATTTATTTCAGTAATTCAACTCAAATTGTGAAACTCGTGTATTAAATTGAATTTTCCATGACATTCTAATTTATTGAGATGCACCTGTACATATCAGTTGTCACTCGGATCGTTTTTATGATCAAAGCTCTGCAGTTTTAATTATGGAAGACAAAACATAATGCAATGCAATGATGATTGAGAGATGAACAAAAACATTCCTCAAAAGTTAATTTAACATTATTTTAACATGGGGGGGGAAAAAGATTAAAAAAAGATCTATGCAACCTTAAGTTCAGTAAATATTTATCTTGAAATATTGATAACAATATGAAAGTTATTCTTAGTTTTCATTTCACAGCAAGATTTCTAAGCAAAACAATGTGTACCACAATCTGAAGGGGGACTTTTTAAAAAATAAAAGGCATTTTACATACTAAATGTATATAAACATGAGCTTTTCTTTGTTTTACAGACAACAATTCTGCAGTAACAGACAGTGAGAGGAGACATGAGGAACCAGAAAATTCAGGCCCCTCCGCAAACCCACCTGAGGATCCATCTGACATGACAACGTTTGAGTTTGAAATGAGCACACCTGCTGGAAATGTTAATGAGCTGGAGCTGATACAGGTGATGGAGGACTCTGATGATGTCAAACAGGGCACCATTAAAATTGAAGACGATCCTGATTCACTTACATTAGAGCCTCCTTCATCAAATCTAGCTGTAGCATCTTCATCCAACTCCATGCAAGAGTTACCGCAGATCTCCTCACCTTCAATGCGGGAGAGTGATGGCGATGCTTTGCTGGCCTTGGCGCCACCTGTTAGTAGTGACTCTGGGTTCAGCAGGACTATCGAGAGCCCTGATAAAGTGCACCGCTGCAACATTTGTGGCCGAGGATTCAGACGTTTCTACTGCTTGAAAACACACCAGCGCATACACACAGGAGAGCGCCCGTATCCTTGCAGATACTGCGAGAAACGCTTCCGCCATTTGGACAGCTTACACAAGCACCAGCGCATTCACACGGGAGAGAGACCGTACCGCTGTGCTGAGTGCGGATGCTGCTTCAGAGAACTTGGTCAACTCAAAAAGCACAGACTCAAACACTCGCCCACATTTGTTTCTGTTGCCAATCCCACCTTCCCTCTCCTTCCAGCCGGACCCTCCTATGTCTGGCCACATCTCAACACACAGTCTTTGGATTCAGTCTAAGCATGTGATGGTATTTTCAAAGCATGGTAATTGTGGAAACTTGGTATACGGTATTACAGCAGTATTGAACTATGTTACAAAAACAGATTGAAAAGATAAACTCGTCCTCTTAATAACAAATGGAATAACTCTTCAAATCAGGGACATTAAAATACAATAAAACAACACAATTCAAATGTATAAAGTTAACAAATGTTTCAAACAGAATAAAGTGCTAAAGAACACAACTATAAGGAACAATAATAAAGAATTAAAACATGTTTTAATCCAGATTAAAATGTGCAAGTGTAAACAAATGCTTTTTATATAATGCTTAGTATTAAATACTCAATATTTGCTGTTGTTTTATAAATACCATGGCAAATACAAAAATCTGAATGGTTGTTTTGAAAACATTTAAATACTGTTTGATTTCCTTCAGTTCAGAAACAGACATTTGAATATCACTGCTTTGTGTACAGGGGTAACCGCTGTGTTTCTGCTTTTCTGTAAGTGCCACCTACTGTCAGAGAGTGAATTTGCATTTCCATTCAGTCTGTCTGCTGCTTTTTTCAGAACTTCAGACCAAAGTGAAAATCAGACAGATTTTTATGCAGCATACATGCAATGTCATAAATTTTAACTGGTTGATGGAAAATAAGATAATGTGCAGTCTAAAAGTCTCAATTCAGAAAATAAGTTACCCAGAATCATTCACTGTATTTTGAAGTCTGGATGATTACAATACTGTGCGTTCATTACCGCAATTTACTGTGTTACCAAATACCAGCGCATCTCTAAGTCAGTCAAAGGCCTAATGAAGAAAAGATGGATAAATTTTATGAGGATATATGTTGTGGTGCAAAACACACCTCAGATAACGTTTGTACAGTGACAGTTTGGTCTAAAAACAATTGAAGGTATACTGGAAGATATATATTTGCCTGATTGTGTGAACAGTTTGTCCATTGCACAAAAAAAATCATTGCATTTAATTTAGATCCATATGTACAAAATACCTCATCGGTAGTACAGCATAACCATAGGTAGTTTTTAGGCAAAAAACAACTTTAAACATTTAAATGGGTTCCAGATATGATTAAACGTTCACAATAAGGTATTTTCTGGTATTGAGAATTGATTTTACTCACGCTGATTATCATACAAAAAATATGCATCCGGCATAAATCAGAGCTGAAACTAATTCTTTTTGTACTTGGTATTAATGCAGCACTTGAGATTTTTAAATGCATCATTTTAAAACTATGGCCTGACAAATAAAGGCAGAAAGTACCACACCCTTGTTAAGATAAAAAATATATATTTATATATTTATGTGTACATTTTTTACTAGTATGGAACTACTGGGGGAATCGTTACAATAGATTAGTAGTACTAAAAAGTGCTCCTTTTTGCAGTTGAATTACATAGTGTAGTTACTGCAACCTGGTAGTTTTTAGGCAAAAAACAACTTTAAACATTTAAATGGGTTCCAGATATGATTAAACGTTCACAATAAGGTATTTTCTGGTATTGAGAATTGATTTTACTCACTCTGATTATCATACAAAAAATATGCATCCGGCATAAATCAGAGCTGAAACTAATTCTTTTTGTACTTGGTATTAATGCAGCACTTGAGATTTTTAAATGCATCATTTTAAAACTATGGCCTGACAAATAAAGGCAGAAAGTACCACACCCATGTTAAGATAAAAAATATATATTTATATAATTATGTGTACATTTTTTACTAGTATGGAACTACTGGGGGAATCGTTACAATAGTTTAGTAGTACTAAAAAGTGCTCCTTTTTGCAGTTGAATTACATAGTGTAGTTACTGCAACCTAAAATTAAGAAATGGGTATGTGTGGTAGGCTACTTGGTTTGATATCAGATAAAATGTTTGACTGGTCAAACATCTAGGTCAGGGCTGTCCAAACTCGGTCCTGGAGGGCCGGTGTCCTGCAGAGTTTAGCTCCAACTTGCCTCAACACACCTGACTGGAAGTTTCTATGCTTAGTAAGAGCTTGATTAGCTGGTTCAGGTGTGTTTAATTAGGGTTGGAGCTAAACTCTGCAGGACACCGGCCCTCAGGACCGAGGTTGGACAGCCCTGGTCTAGGTGTTTGAACTACGATCAAATAGTAAACAACACGGTTCTCTCATGTTCAACTCAAAATCGTCTTCCACTTGAGATATTTCAGCCGTCCTCTCTGTGAAGTCACATGGGCGCTACATCTGTCCCGTGACTTTTGTTTAAACAAACTGAGAGGCAGGCGGTAGTCCCAGCCGTGCTGCAGTATGAGAGTACGCGATCATTATCTCTCGGTGGACCGTTACATAATAGATTTATGTTTTCATTAGGTTGCTGTCTGTTGTTCATAGTCGGGTCCACGGGGCACACGACGACAGTGCCTTCGCCATCCTTCATGTCCCGGAGGGTTGATCGCGAGATCTGAGGCTGCAACGAAAACTTTCGAAAGCATCGACAAGATGCTCTGATGAAACATATCGGTTTCAGGACATCCTGCATCCACGTTGTAAAAACGAGTAGTTTTGTTTACTTGTGGTTTGTGTTGTTTCTCCCTAAAAGTGGAAGTTACATACCGCTTTTAACGTTAAATTAGCGTCGCCGCAGTTGTTCATAAGAACAGGTATGTCATGTTTGCTTCTCCATCTTCTTACTGTACTTATTCATAGTCGGGTCCACGGGGCACACGACGACAGTGCCTTCGCCATCCTTCATGTCCCGGAGGGTTGATCGCGAGATCTGAGGCTGCAACGAAAACTTTCGAAAGCAACTCGACAAGATGCTCTGATGAAACATATCGGTTTCAGGACATCCTGCATCCACGTTGTAAAAACGAGTAGTTTTGTTTACTTGTGGTTTGTGTTGTTTCTCCCTAAAAGTGGAAGTTACATACCGCTTTTAACGTTAAATTAGCGTCGCCGCAGTTGTTCATAAGAACAGGTATGTCATGTTTGCTTCTCCATCTTCTTACTGTACTTAACCGTTATTTGTGTCTTTAAAACCTTACACGCCCAAGCATCCGTGACTGGTGGAGGAGATGGCGGTCTCATTTAGAAATGCCAGCTGCCTTTTGTCAGCTGTCTGCTAGTTTATTCAAACAATTAATCGGATGCTGTTTTAGCAGAGGGGTATTTTAATAGTTACATTATTATCTTTACTTACATAAGACCATAATACAATTGTTTTTCAACCGCGTACGTCGGATTGTTTACATGGTGATGTACGTTACTTCCGCTACTTAAAAAGGTCCAACATTTGTTTTGAAAAACGCGGTTCAAAAGGCGATCACGATCAGTGGGACATTCAAGGTCTTGCAGCCTCAAGCTGTCCATGGTCATGGACATTGCGATTAAATGGAAAATTGTGATTTACAGGCCTGAAAAAAGTAATTGAAACTAACAATATACTAAATCATTGACATTTATGGTGACTAGCTATAGCTCTAAATCCATCGATGGTTTTGAAAGAAAAAAAACTTGTATAAATAGTCCAATTATCATCAAGAGTGACTTTTTTACTTTTTAAAAGAATTACTATATTACAACAACAAAAATGTCAATGTTTTGAAAGGTCTCTTGCTCACCAAGGCTGCATTTATTTGATCAAACATACAGTACAAACAGTAATATTGTGAAATATTATTAGAATTTAAAATAAACTTTTCTATTTTTTATGTATTGTAAAATTTATTTTATTCCTGTGATGGCAAAGCTGAATTTTCAGCATCATTACTCCAGTCTTCAGTGTCACATGACCCTTCAGTAATCATTCTAATAAAATAATTTGCTGCTCAAGAAACATTTCTCATAATTAACATTAACGTAATTAACAGTTGTTTTGTTACATTTTCTCTCAGGATTCTTTGATGGATGGGAATGTTCAAAAGAACAGCATTTATTTGAAATAGAAATGTTTTGGAACTGAGTAAAAGTGTAATGCGTCCTTGAGGAATGAAAATATTAGGCCTAACTTCTTTAAAAAAACAACAACAAAAAACTTTACTGATCCCAAATGTGCAATAGTGTACATTATGAATGTTTGAGTAATAATAATAGCTTGCTCAGCAGCTCAAAATCATGACAAATGTTTGTATGTACTAACCAGGAAACACTCAAAAGGTTTCTTATTGCAGGTTCCTCTTTTTCAGACCATGGCAAATGAGCACTCGCCTCTTCTTGTTCACGGGGTGTACAGCATGATGGGTGATGCTTAAGATTCCAGGGGTGGATCAGCAGTGACAGGAGAGGCATCCCCCAAATCAAACCCCGCAAACTCAACACCTTCTTTGGCGTCATGGTGCCCACCATCCTCTCCATGTTCAGTATTGTGCTCTTTCTTCGCACAGGTGCGTAAGAGATGGGAAAAGACAGAAGTTGATGACCAGAGACTTAATAAAACTTTTTCACTATGGCCAAGTGTGTGATCTTAGAAGTATTTTTGTGCATAACTGATTCTAATACAGTATATGTCGATTTTGCAGGTTTTGTAGTGGGTCATGCCGGTCTTCTCCATGGTCTCCTCATGCTGTGTGTGGCCTACTTCATCATCTCGTTGACAATCCTGTCTATATGTGCTATTTCAACTAATGGAGCAGTGGAAGGGGGCGGGGCCTACTGTATCCTTAACCAATCTCTTTGCCATATAGAATGCTAGAATTGCAGACTGCCTCAAATATGAATCTGTTGTTCATGAGTGTTTGCATATTGTTGTTGAACTTTAACTCTTTAGTCTTAGTCATGATCAGTCGTTCTCTGGGACCAGAGTTTGGAAGCAGTATCGGCCTGATGTTTTACTTGGCGAAGGTATGTGCGTGTGGCGTTTATGTACTCGGCCTGGTGGAGGCCATACTGGACATCTTTGGGAAGGATCCAGGTGAGCGGTCCATTGAATCACGCTGTACTAAACAGTCTTTGAAGCAATTAAACATGTATGGCTTGTGTTTTTTTTCCACATTGAAGCCTCTCTGTTCTTCTCTCTCTAGGCTCTGCTGTGTCACAGGGGCTGCGTGTGTTGCCGCAGGGTTACTGGTACACCGTGTTGTACTCCTCTCTAGTGCTGTTGATATGTCTGGTGGTGTGTCTGGTTGGTGCTCACATCTACGCCAAAGCCTCTTTTATCATTCTGCTGGTGGTGACAATGTCACTGATCTCTATCACCATCAGCCCCCTGATACTCAGTCCACAACGCTTCAACATCACACACGCATACGGCAACAACCACACCGTCACTGTCAACCCCAGCT